AAGGAAGGAAAAAGGGAAAGAATGAAGGAAGAGAGGGAGGAAGGAAAGAAGGAAAGAAAAAGAAGGAGGGAAGATATAGGTTGGAGGAAGAAAAGGAAAGGAAGGAGGGGAGGAAAAGGAAGGAAGGAAAAAAAGGAGGGGAGAAAAAGGGAGGGAGGGAGGGAGGGCCTGGCATCAAAGACCCTGACCGGATTCCCCTCCATCCAGTGACAAGGGGGAGGGGGGGTCCCACTTCTTCTTCTTCTCCCTCCCCCACAGGGCCCTCTTACCGGGCTCTTGGGCCCCGGGCTCTGCGCCCCGGCCTGCTTCAGGGCCTCCATCTCGTCCATCATGCGAGTCGCCACGGCCTGCAGGTACCCCCGGGACTCCTTCTCATCCGTCACCCTGGGGAGGGGAAGGACAAAAGGGCCAGGGGAGGTCAGGGGAATCACCTGGGGGGGGGGGGGGGGGGGAATCATTCGGCCCTTCCCTGCTCCTGGCCCCCCCCCTTCCCCCTCCCTTAATGACCACATTGCTTAGTGACGAGAAGTTCCGGTCCCAATCGTGGCCGTTAAGTGTGACTTCAGTTCACCACTAAAGCTATAATCCTGGGATCGGAGGGGAAAGTACCACGTAGAACCCGATTTAAAAGAAACATGTGCTACATGGTTGTTAGGAGATGATTATTATAAATGTTTAAGGGGATCATTAAAAGTTAAACGGTTATTGGGATTTAAAAGGGAATTTATTAAATGATATTTAAGCTTTTTTGGGGGGAGCACACTCGAATTGGTAACTGTAGGGGGAATTTCTGTTTCTGAAATGAGGTGGGATGTTTGAAACGATGAAAGAAGAATATGCGATGGAATTGGGAATGTGACAGGCAAAAGTGCAAGCGTAAATGAATAGGAAGGTGTGAGAAATGATTTAAAATTAAAAGAAACAGGTTAAGAAACGGATTGAAAAATGTATAAAATAAGCCTGAGGAAAACATTTGAGGGAAAAGTAATAGAAAATGTGTAAAGTCAGAGGTAAGATACGAAATTAAATGAGGAAGATGAATATGTAATCAAAGACGTGGCTGTATGGAAATGTAAAAACCTAGAATCATGCTGTTCGCTTAAAAAAGATGTTTTTTTTTTAAATGTGGAAATAAAATTTTATATATATATATAAAAAACTAAAATTATAATCCCTCCCCTCCCTCCCCCGCCCGGCTGAGGTCTCTCCACATCTTGCTCTGAACTACAAATCCCAGAATCCTCCTGGATAAAGACTCACGGGGGACTCGTCCCAACCTATCGGGAGGGCGCCAGGCTGGGGGGAGGGGGGGGAGGCCGCACAGGAGGTTGGACTCCTTTAAGGGTTAGAAGAAAAGGCATTCTGCTCATCCTCAGAGGCAACCTTGCCAATGCAAAACGCGGGAGGGATTCTCTCACCACTTCAAAATGCTGGCGATCTGAGTCTCCCAGTTGGTGAAGGCCGCTCTGTGGGATTCAGACGGGCAGCTCCCCGGTCCCGGGTGCAAGGCGTCGTTCCCCCGAGAATCCACCTGTTGCAAACCCAGGAAAGAAGCCAAACGCAGCCTTTAAAAGAGACATTGGGGTACAGTGGGGAAGGAGATAGAGCAGGAGTGGGGTGTCCTGGGTTCGAGTCCCACTCTGTTGTGGCCTGTTGGCCGCCGGCCCGTCCGGCATCCAAATTGGAGGAGGAGGAGGAGGAGGAGGCATGGGAGTCAGGGTCAGCATCCAGGCAACTGTGTTGTGGTTCTCCGACAGCAGGTGCAGAAGACTGAGGTCTCGGAGAGCGAGGACTCAGATGAGGGGCCTGCGTGCGAGGCAGGGATGGGGCCAGGACCATCAGGGAGTGGAGTGCTGCCTTTGGAGATTGTGGAGGCTGGCAGCAGTGATGAAGAGCACCCCAAGGAGCCTGTGCCCAGTGTGCGTGCACGCAGGGCTACTCCAAGGAAAGAGCCGCTGCAGCAGCACGGGCGACTCGGGAGTAAGGCTGCAAGGTGATGGTCTCTCCCTTAAGGGATAAAAGCCAGCTGAGAAACCGGAGTTCTTTGCAGGAAGCAAAGACGTTTTTGCACTCAAGCCTGGTGGACGTTCGGACTATCTTGGTTGGTGTTTGGAGACTCTTTGTGTTTGAAATATTTCTGAGTAACTTTATCTAGTGTTCTTGGCAGCCTTGCACCACCTTGGCAAGGCTTGTTCTTATCAGAGACAATTAATTTGAAACAGCCTTTTAACCGGGAAGGAACGGAATTCGTAAAGAATCATTAAAAGGTTTTGCTGTTACCTCCATCTGGTATTTGTTTCCTTGGAACAAGGTTTGGGTCAGAACAAACAGAGCTCTGAGAGGGAAGAGGGAATGGAACTGGCAGAGAGAGAGAGAGAGAGAGAGAAAAGTGGGAGCCTGGGCCATCTGTGAGCAACTTCCAACGGCCACTAAGTGAACTGTTATAAGTCAATGACTACTTTATAAATGGGATAGCTAAGTGTTCTTAACATGCAGTCTGGATTCTTTGCACCTCACAGCCCATCCTAGACTAGCCAGACTTCAAAGATGCCCAAGGCTACCTATCCCCCAAGGCCACTGCAGCCTCCATCATCCCCAGATGTCCCCCAAATGCCTGGACAGGCAGCGCTTCAGACTGCTGTGGGTTGTCGGCCATCGGCCCCTCCAGCAGCCAAATCAGAGGAGGAGGAGGCGTGGGAGTTGGGGTCAGCATCAAAGCAACCTGGGAGCTCCAAGGGGGAAGTGGAACTGGCAGAGAGAGAGAGGGAGAGGGAGAGGGGGAGAGAGAGAGAGAGAGAGAGAGGCGGAGCCTAGGCCATCCGTCAGCCCTCAGATGGAGAGTCAACAGCCCCCCCAGGTCTGGAGGTGGCCGATGAGGAAGAGGAGGAACAGCCGAGTCCAGTGCCTGACGCTTGGATGCACAGAAGGCAGAGAGGAGAGGAGAGCAGGGGAAATCTATGGGCCGGCCCTTGGGATGGAAGAGCCACTGCTGCTAGCGAAGGCCCCACTCTAGCAGTGGGGATAAAAGGCAGCGGGCGGAGATGAACAGGTCTGGCAGACAACTAGTCACCTCCCTGCCGGATGGATTTGTCAGCCTGCGGTGAGAGAGAAATTTTTTGCCGGGGCTGCCGGCGCTCCGAATAAAGGAATCTTTTGATTTCACCTCAGAGGGCTTGTCTTGTTTGGGGAGCTGCGTCAGAACACGCTCCGTCCCAAGAGCTCAGCGGATGCTGCATCAGACTTTCTCAGCCCGGCCTTCCTCACAGGGTTGTTGTTGTTGTGGAGCAATGTGGCAGGTGAACGCCCCATTTTTATGCTCCTGGAGAAAAAGGGGTGGGGGTGGCAGGTAGGGGAGATAGATAATTTGGGAAAGCATAACATTCCTCGGCATTTGAGGCACGTCTACCTGGTCACAAGAAGGCCGGGAGCTGCCGCTATTGCTCGTGGCCGCTTGGCTTCCTCTGCACGGCTCCATATTTTCGCACCTAGGCAGAAAAACAACCCCGTTCATTTGACAAATAGCCCCTCCATTTGGGACTGCAACGGCCCGGGGTCTCCAAGGTCTTCCACTCTGGCAAACTTTCAAGACTTGTGGTTGGCTGGGGGAATTCTGGGAGTTGAAGTCCCCAAGTCTTTAAAGTTGCCAAAGGTTGGAGAGGCCTGATCGCAACTTCCATCTCTTAAACCACAGGGTCGTTAAGTGAGACCTCGTGTGAGCCCGCCCAATTTCATGGTCATGAAGGGAATCACACGGTCACGAAGTGAATCCTGATTTCCCCTTGCCAGTGAGGATGAGGGGACCCCCCCCCGAGGCGCCCCCTCTCTCCTCTTGCCGGCCTCGCGCAGCCTCTCGTTCGGCCGCTCACCGCTGCCTCCTGGCTTTCTCCAGCTGCTCCTGCAGTTGGGCCACCTCCTCCGTCAGAGCCTCGACCTGCCGTGCCTTGGCTTGCAGCTCCTCCTTCCAAGCCCCGCACGGCTCTGGACGTTTCCTGGAGCTGGACCGCTTGAAGATGGCCGTGCTTGGCTTTGCCTGCAAAGAGAGCCCCACATCAATGCGGCGTGGCGGCTAATGCCGCCGTTTAGGACTGAGGTCCTCTGCCGTCTGCACAGCCTTACCCGCAGCTCCTCCAGTTCTTCTTTCAGCTTCCGCATTTGCTGCTCCGCTCTCTCCCGTCCCTTTCGCTGCTTGGTCACCTCGCCCACCAGGCTTTCGATCCGGAGCTCCAGCTGTGGGGAGAGAAGAGGTTTCTCTTGTGTTTTGCAGGGAAGGTGGTTTAGGGGGCAGCATCTTGTTGTGGTGGTTAGCCGGCAGCAGGTACGGACAGCTGAGGAGAGCGAGCGCTCAGATGAAGGACCAGGACCATCAGGGAGTAGGCTGCTGCCTTCAGAGACTGTGCGGGCTAGCAGCAGCAATGAGGAGGTTCCCGAGGAGCCTGTGCCAAGTGCACGTGCACGCAGGATTGCTCGCAGGAAAGAGCAGCTACAACAGCACGGGCAACTCAGGAGTAAGGCTGCCCCTCCTTCAAGAGGATAAAAGGCAGCTGTGAAGAGAATGTTCTTTGCAGGAAACAAAGACATTTTGAAACTCAGCCTTGTGGACATTACAGTTGGTATTTGAAGACTCTTATACGGTAAACTATTTCTTATCTGTTGTTTCTTGGCAGCCTTGCAAAAACTTGGTCAGGCTCTTTCTTGTCAGAGCTAACTAGTGGGAAGCAGCCTTTGATCTGTGAAGAAACAGGATTCATAGATGAAACATTAAAAGATTGTGCTGCTGCCTTTGTCTTGTGTTTGCTCTCTTGGAACCAGGTTTGGGTCAGAACGCTTGTCTATTCCTGCATCCCAATCTGGGATGCTCCTGGATGCCTCCTTGAGCAGGGGACTCCACCTGGGTGATCCACCTGTCTTAAGGTAGAAAAAAGGTAAAGATTTCCCCTGTCCAGTCCTGAGCGACTCTAAGGGGCAGTGGTGCACCTTTGTTTCCTAGCCAGCTCGAAGACACTTCCATGGGCATGTGGCTGGCATGAGTATATACCTAGGCACATGGAACGCTGTTATCTTCCCACTGAAAAGTTACCTACAGGTGGTTCTTGACTTACGACCACAACTGACCCCAAAATTTCTTGTCAGCTTTGGAAGCCGTAGTAGCACCAGAAGCTTCCACGCTGCCACATTCATTGAGCGTGGGAAGTTGGGAGGGGGAGGATCTCATGGAGTGTATGTAGTTTAGACATAATAGCACTTTTCTTTACATTCAAGGTCATGTTATTTCTGCACCTGGGTGAAGGGATGTCTCAAGTTGGGATGGACGGTGATTGGGACATGTGATGGAATGATGGATGCGCGGGGTGAATTTGTGATTTTTAATTATTGAAGGAAAACCCGGAACTCTCAGATTTAGGTTTTCCCAGATGTGCCAGTAACAACTTTTCCAATAAAAAGAAACTTTGAGGAAATGCCTGTCTCGGAGTTTTGGATTGTGTCAGCCTAAGTTTGATTGATTGATTGATTGATTTTATATTAGCAATAGCCCTTAGACTTATATACCGCTTCGTGGTGCTTTACAGCCCTCTCTAAGCGGTTTACAGTCAGCCTCTTTCCTCCAACAATCTGGGTCCTCATTTTACCAACCTCGGAAGGACAGAAGGCTGAGTCAACCTGGAGCCTGGTGGGATTCGATCTGCCAAACTGCAGTAGGAGTAGTTTGCAGCACTGCACTCTAACCACTGCGCCACAAAGCCTCCTTTATATTGCCGCCTGTTTGCCCATGGCGACTCGAGGCGGCTTACAGAATGTAAAAAACATTATTTAAAACAATAAAAACTATCAAAAAGAATCAAATACATTAATAAAGTACAACAGAGCGAAATCTGGAAAATCAATCGATCAATCAATCACCCCCAACTCCCACCTCATGCCCTGACGACAGCAGATCCTACAAAGTCCTTTGATGGGCTCCATCCCGCTCTGGGTTCCCCAGGCCCGCTGGCAGAACCAGGTCTTCAGCGCCTTCTGGAAGAGAATCGGAGTGGGGGCCAGTCTAATCTCTGGGGGGGATGAGGTTCCACAGAGAGGGAGCCACCACGGAGAAGGCCCTTCCTCTGGGTCCCCACCAGGGGTATCTCCCTCAGGGATGGGAACTGATTTTGGCTGGAACATTGACATTTCTGTCGCTAAGTGAGACAATTGTTAAGCTGCCCTCTCCCCTCTTTGGAAGAGCTTCATAGCTCCCACTGCCTAAAGAAAGTTCAAAACATCCTTAAAGATCCACCTCATCCTAATATTACCATAAATATTACCATCTGGCAGGCGGCACAGGATAATAATAAAAATGAGGACAAATAGGCTGAAAAACAGCTTCTATCCCAGGGCAGGAGCTCTGCTGAATTCTACTGTCTAGTGCAATATTAATGCAATATCAGGGGTTTGCGATTCAACTGTATATAGAATGTAAAGGATGGGTGTTTGTGCTTATTTTCATAGTCATAAATTGTACACTGAAGATGGTATTTAATTGTGCTGTGTGAGGTGCAATGGCAATAAAGGAAAGGAAAGTGATATTTACCCCGTTTTATGGCCTTTCTTGCCACAGTTGTTAAGTAAACCACTGCACTTCTTAACGTAGCAACCCGGTTGCCAAAGGGGATCAGAGACAATGCAACCATCGTAAATGCTTGGACAACCAACAATGCAATCATCATAAATATGAGTTAGTGGCCACATGTCCAAATTTTGATCACGTCACCATGAAGATGTTTGCAGTCGTTGTAATTGGGAGAAATGGTCCAAATCACTTTTCTCAGTGCCGCTGCAACTTCAAACGATCGCTAAACAAATCATTGTAAACCTGGCTTTACCCATATATATATCGGTAGACTGGACCAGGGGTCGCCAACCTTTTGGACCTCAGGGGCCACCAAACTCATAATTTTAAATCCCACGGACCAGAGACCCTGAGAAAATCCCAAAAAAAGTCTGCAGGAAAATTCCCCTCCCCGTTTTCCTACCGATCGATCGTTCTTTACTTGGGATCGCAGGATATTGTCTCCAGCTCCGTTCTCGGGGTTGGGGCGAGAGACTTTTGGCTTCATACAAGGAAAGCAGCAGAAGCCGCAGAAGTCTTTCTTTCTCTCCCCCAAAGTCCACCAGAAATGAGTCTTTGCCGGCGCAGCCTCTTGGAGCAGGAGGCCTTGCAGGGTCCCAAAGACTCATTTCTGGCGGAGTTTGGGGAAGAGAAAGAAAGACTTCTGCTGCTTTCCTTGCGTGCAGCCAAAAGCGGAAGAAGCGGAAAGAAGCAGCCTGGTGGCCAGGCGAGGTACGTGGGTCGAGGTACGTGGGGCACATTCCCCCCTCTCCGCCCTTCCCCCCCTTCCCTCACTACCTCGTGTTATTCGCAATGCAAGCGACGCAAGCCTTGTGTTCCCACGGGCCACGTGGGCGGCACAGCCTTGTGTTCCCGCACAGCCTGGATTAATTGCTTTGGGGGTGACATTCCTCTGCGGACCACCAAAATTTTCTTGCAGACCACCTAGTGGTCCCTGGCCCACCAGTTGGCAACTACCGGACTGGACTACAGCTCCCATCTTCCCCAACCCCCCCGGAGAAACCCCCCAGGGTGGAAATCAGGAGTGCTCGGTTGTCCACTGAGCTCGGTGGGTTTTCTCGCAGACCTTTCATTACCTAGCTAAGTAACATCATCAGAATTAGAAGGGAGTGAGCTTTGCTCTCTTTTTACATACTAACAGGCTGCCCTGTCGGTGAGAGTTCCTGTTGGTTGTTGTATACTGTTAGCTTGTTTGTCTGACTTGTACATAAATAGGGAACAAACACGACTCCCTTTAACAATGATGATGTCACCTAGTTGTAATGAAACATCAGCCAGAAAACAGCCAAGCTCAGAGTGTCAAGTCGTAAAACATTCCTATGCCTGTTTTCAAGTTGCCATAAATAAGGGTAGGTGGGTGGGTGGAAATCTTGAAGTAGGGCAGTTTAAAACCAGAACTACCTTCCACCCTTATCTTAAAAAGATTGTAGCTAGACTACTGGATCTTCTGCATGCAAAAATCCTTCATTGGAGAATGTGATTGATGACATCCAGCCTGTGAACGTGCTTAATTGGAGAATCTAATTTATGACACACCCAAGGGGGAGGGGGGAAACAGGGTCACAGGTGACCGTAAATTACATATGCCAGAGTTGGCTTCATTTAGGTTAATGCCGGCATGTTACTCCTAATCAATCTTTTGAATTTTTTTTGAAGCTTGGCTGGAGGCTCATGACTTAATTAGGGCAATTGCTGGAACCCTGACACAGAGAGCACCAAGGACCCCACAATTCGATCCTGAGCTACAAAGATTCTTCTTTATTGATTGAGTGGAAAATCTCTACTCCAAAGGGCAGAAGCTACACCTCTGGCCCAGGCTGTTAATCAACGCAGAGCTTTTAACATTCAGAACAGAAGCTCTTGGGAAGGACTCCAGTGAGGAGCCTATGCATGTGTGCGCGTGTGTGCGTGCGTGAGTGTACATGTGCAGAGAAGAAAGTACCTCCTTGCGTCCACTCTCAGTACGGGCCAGCTCCTTCCGTAGCCCTTCTACCCGTCGAGCAGCAGCTTCCGTCTCCTCCAGTCGTTCCCGCAGCAGGCGCGAGTGCCGCAGCAACTGGGCCTGCAGCTCCCCACATTTGGCTTCGGCGCTCTGCAGTTCCTCTGCTGTCTCTCGATGGCGCTCCTGCTCCTCTTGTAGCTCCCAAGCCTGAGCCTGTAGCTGCTCCTGCAGCTCAGTCACACCCTATCACGAGAAGTCACTATCAGCACTGGACCAGAATACCTGACCGTACACCAAGCTCCATCTGGGTTGCCAAATGGTAAAACACACAGGAACCAGACAGTGAGAGAGCATTGACAGCTGTACAGCAGGCTCCGTCTGGGTTGCCAAATGATAAAACACACAGGAACCAGACAGTGACAGA